TGGTAGGGTCCTTGGGGATATTTTATCTTCTTTTGGACCACTAAGTTGGGATTGGGGTTGGCAGTAACATTCATGTATAACAGGTGGTCACTGAAAGCAGCAAAACACTAAACAGGTGTTTGCATGGGTGAGTGGGAGACAATGTAATAGTTGGGCATTTACTCATTGCCCTTGAGTAATCAAACTCCTTAGGGTTGTCTTTGTTTGGAATAGTCTGTTAGGATAAGGTTAATCCTACAAAGGCAATTTCCTGCATTTGTGGGGCATATGTATTGGTGGATCTTAGACCTTTTCATCTTCATCTGTTTGTGCATCATTCCTCTTTTTCCCAGAGAGTACAGTAATTCCTCACTTAAAGTTGTCCTGGTTAACGTTGTTTCATTGTTACATTGCTGATCAATTACGGAACATGCTCATTTAAAGTTGCGCAATGCTCCCTTCTAAGGTCATTTGACAGCCGCCTGCTTTGTCCACTGCTTGCAGGAAGAGCAGCCCATTGCAGCTAGCTGGTGGGGGCTTGTAACCAGGGTAGACCGGCAGCCCCCCCATCAGCTCCTCCTATCAGATCCCCGCTCTCCTAAGATCCTTGTGCTGCAGCCGCCCAGCAGGCTACCAATTGGCAGTTCAGCTGTCCCTCCCCCCACTGCCATGTGCTGCTCCTGCCCTCTGCCTTGGAGCTGCTCTCAGAGACTCCTGCTTGCTGTGCAGGGGGGAAAGGTGGGGGGGCTAATGTCAGGGTTTCCCCCTCCCCCCTGCTCCTGCACCCCACTTACCCCTTCTCCATATAGAGCAGGGAGGGGACACCCACGGAGAGAGACAGAGAGCTTTCTCAACTTCCTGATCCACTTAAAAAGGCAATGCACTTAAGAGTGGGTCAGCTTACTTAAAGGGGCAGTGTGCATCTCTCTCTCTCTCTCTCCCACACACAAGGTGTGTGTCTGTCTCTGTCTGCTATGCTATCTCCCCTCCCTCGTGTTTGTGCTGCCTTGTGTGAGAGGCTACATTAACAACAATATGTTAACCCTTGAGGGCTCAGCTGAGTGCTAGTTCATCATTTAGCAGCCAGGCATTCCCTGGGAAATATCCCTCCCTCTTCCACCCTCAATCAAGCTTCACAATCATCATAGCTGTGAACAGTATTAAATTGTTTGTTTAAAACGTATATTGTGTGTATATCTATATACTATATAACTTTTTGTCTGGTGAAAAAAATTTCCCTGGAACCTAACCCCCCCATTTACATTTACATTAATTCTTATGGGGGAAACTGGATTCACTTAACATCGTTTCGCTTAAAGTCACATTTTTCAGGAATATAACTGCAACGTTAAGTGAGGAGTTACTGTATTATTTTCATTTTATTATGAAATAAATATAAATATTTTATATTTCATTTTACTGGTACTTAAGAATAAATTCATGAAATACAATAAAGAAAACTTTTTCTCGCCCACTCAGCTGACAAGATCTTCTCAAACCGATGTAAATGGAAAAGATTTCTCTTGTCATTTCTGATGAGAGAAATGTTATATCTTGTTAATGTTTTGAGGCCAGGGCAGCATTACACACTTGGGTAATTCCATCTTTCGTTCATTTTTAAGTTTTACTGAAAACTGCACCTCCAGGAGCAGATGTAGCCTCCCAGTTCAATAGATGCACCATATTAAACTGCTGAGGGGGCAAGGACTAACCACAGCAGTACCCTCTGCCTGAGCACCACAACCCTAATCCCAGCCCAGTGTGGAGGGGAGAGGCAGACAGGGCCCAGGAAGTGGATTTTGAGAGTGAGCCTGCCCCACACTCACCCCACAGCTGGAGCTGCTGCTCCACAGGGCTGGGCCTGGCTCCCTACTCTGGGAGTTGCAATCTGGCACATGGGGTTGCAGAGCCACTCAGGTTTGTCCCAGCCATGACAGAGAAACAGCTGGGCCTGCACCACATCTCAATGCCCAGAGCGTAGAGCCAGGACCAGTGCCCTTGGAGAGGATCCAACACTGCAGCATGAATGAGGGGCAAGCTTGCTCTCCAGATCCCATCTCCTCTCCCTTCTCCCCCTCACGTCAGGGCCTCCCTTCCACTCCACAGTGGGCTGGGAGAAGTGTTTTGCACCCTTGGTTTCACAATTTCTGTGGCTGCAACTGAACCCATGCTAAACCTGCCCCCCATGCACCCCTAAAGAATTAGAAACATGGAGCTGTGTGAAGAAAAGGGACTGCACCAGCTGTCTGTATAGAAAGGAAGTTTCAAAGGGCCTCCTCTGGGCGCTTTGCAGGAGCTTGAACACCAGTTTTGGGCTCTTGGAAAACACAGGAAATTTTCTAAACACAATGTGGGGAGTTCTTTGACAATGTGCTCTTTTTATATATATATAATATATATATAAGGGTTGCTTACTGTAATTTTATAGTGCACATTTTAACCCTTTAAGATCTTCTCCCCCATATCAATGGGTGTATGTATAAATGATTAGACCGGCAGGGGAAAAACAACCCCTGGGGTCCTGAGAGGAAGGGAAAAGGAATGGCAGGTTCAGCTGCTAGAGAGCCTTCTCCCCATCACCCCTCAGGAGATTATCCCTGGGTGCGTGGGGGGAGGGAAGAAGGAGAGATTTCTCCCCCTTTCTCTGCTACCCATTGTCTATGGGGAAAAGGGAGAGTTTGATTCTCATGCATCCCCACCCAATACCTACCCAGCTGTATGGGAAGCCCTCAGACTACCTAGCAGCCATTCTGCTGCCCCGCCCTCTCTACCTTGTAATGGAGGTATAATTTGAATTAGTTTCTAAGATTCTGTGGGACTGACTGATTGCTAGTTTTGGGAGTCAAGAAGGAGTTCCTTCCTCAGAAAAGGATTGACGAGGTTTTTGGTGGGATTTTCTGCCTCTCATGACGCATCCTGGAGGCTCTGTTTAAGGTTAATGAGTAAGAATAGTGTTTAAAAGTTATGATTTTGTAATTTCATTGCAATTGTGGGTGAGAGGCTCAAAGGGGCCATCTTTCAGAGGTAAACGTTGACTGAGAGAGACCCAAGAAATGTCAGGCATGGACCCTCTTAGCCTTGTGGAAGAAGGGAGGGCCTTAAGTCTTCACAGACTAAGGTACCCTTCATGTGTACCCTCATTCTCCTCCTGGGGCAGAGTGAGAAGATTCAGAGGTGGGGAAAATCATTGGGGTTATGCTGAAGAGACCAACCCCAAATATTGGCTATTTGGTATGAGATCATTTAACATGTCCCTTAACTCAAGTAAATATCTGGTATTTTGTGGGGATTTAGCTCCATCCATTAAAGTTCATAATTAATAAAGTTTCAGCTTTCCACTTTGAAATCCATCTCTCTGTCTGTGTTTCATTCTCCTGCATGTCCTGATCAAATATGTTTTAAAAATTATCTCAGAAATGAAGGAAAATAAATGCAAATTGTGCAGCTATGGAATCTCCTCATCACTCTACTTCCCTTCTCACATCTTCACCACTGAACAGAGACACTACTGTACATACTAGTGTGATTTAAAATGTTTGTACTTATAGTGCCTTTAATTCTATGGGCCATCTACTTAAGATTACATGTGTATATAATATCTGTTACTGGTTTCCATTTCCACTATATGCTTTTCTTTCTTCCTTTATTCTCTCATCTCTTATTTCTCTTTCAATTTCTATTTCTTTTTATTAATTTTCTTTCTTGCTAGAGGTTTCCACCCTTTCTGTATTTCTCTACCCTTCCTGCTCCTCCAACCCCTGACTTCTATCCCTCACTTCTCCTCTCTGCTTTTCTTTTGGCATTTTTGTACTACTTTCTTCCAGTGTGCAACTTTTTCATTTAATTTTCCCTCCTTCATTTTCTCTTCTAATTCATTAATTTTCTTCTCTCCTGTGCCCCCTAATTTTTTTTCTGCCAGTATTTCTTTCCCCTTTTCTATTTTCTGCTTCTTTCTGCAACCCATGCTTTTTTTTTATTCTCCTTTCTCAGCGCTGCTTATCGCTCCCTTCCTATCATCTCTTGCTTTCTCACATCTCTGCCATTCCTCATCTCTTGCTTCTTTCAAAATGTATTAGGTCTGGCACTGATCCTCCAACTTTCCTCAAAGGCTGCCTCATCATTTCCACATAGCCCTGCCAACCAATGGGTGGAGACTGCAGATGTGCTCTACTGCTTGCCCAAACACACATTTAAACAATGTACCTACTAAATTCTGAAAATTATTTAGCAGCATAAAATATGCAGGATGTGCAGTTTTATTGTGCACTCATTTTTCTGTGCCCATGCTTATTTTTAAGCTGCATACTATGTTTGTTAAAAATACTTTGTTAATTCTTCACTTGTAAACATCTTTACTGAAGAAAATGCTAGTATACAGAACAATTGTTTAAATGAAAGAGAAATATGAAGAAAGTATTGCTTTTGTTAACTGTAAAGAGAGTAAGTGATGCACAGGTAACTTTAGGAACCATATATTTTGGTAATGCAGAGCTCTTATCTGCAATACATGGAGCCAATTTTTATTTGTTTAGGTCCTGATTCTGCAGCTCTTTCTTCCATTGACTTCAAAAAGTCTACTTGTGAATATGCAAGTGAGTAATTACTTCTCAGTATGAGTAAGAGTTGCTGAATTGGGCGTTTTATAATTAACAATATGTTCCCTGAAGATTCTGCAGTGGGACCACTTTCCTTTTCATAATTAATAAATATCAGTTGCAATAAGACTATATCGGCAAGCCCTCTGATAAAATACTTTGGGTAAAAATTGATTAAACAGCTTCTAGAACTGAGAAATTATTTCGTCTTATATATAGTTGGCTTATCAAGAACGAAATAGGTGCCTTTGAAAATGATCAAACTTCTATTTTAAACGCTGAATTGAGTTACATTTAAATTGTTTTAAATATTTTATATTTGCATATACTGATGCTGGCATAAGCAAAATAAATATTACTAAATAAATAATATTTTCCCTGGATTGTTCTAACATGTTCATCTTTTCTTTTTCTGTTTTCTTTTAGCACTTTCTTATGCAAGAGAATAAATGGTAATTAAAATGAGCAGGATGAAAAGATGGAGCAGTCAGTGCTTGTACCACCAGGACCTGACAGCTTCCACTACTTCACTAGAGAGTCTCTTGCAGCTATTGAACAACGCATTGCTGCAGAAAAGGCTAAGTATTCCAAACAAGACCGTAAAGATAATGAGGAAAATGGCCCAAAACCAAATGGTGACTTGGAGGCAGGAAAGTCACTTCCATTTATTTATGGTGACATACCTCCAGGAATGGTGTCCGAGCCCTTGGAGGATCTGGACCCATATTACATCAATAAAAAAGTAAGTATTTATTATCAAGCATGTTTCATTGTCACTTTCATAAAGTAATGCTTTGATTTTTTCATCATGTACATAATGTGTAATTTACATAAAATGTACAAGAGATCTCTGTGTTATGTAACATACCATATGTATGCAACTGGTACTCCACTGTTTAACAAAGGGTGTGGAGATAGTTTTAGCTGAGCATCATAGAAAGGAACAGGATATGTAACAAGTGGAGGAAGTATTCATAGTCAACAACTTACATGTATTTCCGTCTTCCAAAAAATTAGTAAATAGAAGAACACTTAACAACTGAATGCTAAAAAACTGTCTCAATCTAACCCATGTATTTTGACCACGCTCATCACCATGGACTCATGGTACTGTGAGCATCTTAATTTGCATGATGAGCTTGGGACTGCATATATATATATATATATATATATATATATATATATATATATATATAT